GCAAGGAGATCCAACCAGTCCATCCTAAAGGAGATCAGTCCTGGGTGTTCATTGGAAGGACTGATGTTGAAGCTGAAACTCCAATACTTTGGCCACCTGATGCGAAGAGCTGACTCACTGGAAAAGACCCTGATGCTGGGAAAGATTGAAGCAGGAGGAGAAGGGGACTACAGAGGATGAGATGGTTGGATGGCATCACCGACTCAATGGACATGAGTTTGGATAAACTACAGGAGTTGGTGATGGACAAGGGAGGCCTATCGTGCTGCGCTTCATGGGTTTGCAAAGAGTCGGACATGACTGAGCGACTGAACTGAACCCTGAAATGTATAGTTGATTTACAAATTGCTTGTTTTTTATACTCAGTCTGTTTTTTCCTCCCTAGTTTTGAAAAGTTTGTCATATTTTCTCCTTCTCCTTTATGTAGATGTAATGTCATGCACATAAATAAAATTATGATAATTAGATAGTGTCCACAGCAACGAGGTAAGCTTGAACCAATATATAGTTTCCAGGAAAGAAATTAACTTCTGCTTCTGATTTCTTGAAATTACTTTCTTCTCAAACAGAATATTTTCTGAGTAATAAGAACTCACTTCTAGGCTTCTCACAACTTACAAGAATAATTGAGATTCTCTTAAACCACAGAAGGAGGAAAAATCATCAGAGGAAACAGTATTTACCAAGGCTTACAAAAATTTTTAAACAGACTTGATGTTTTCAAATAATACCTTAAAGGGAACATGTGTCACATTGAATCTTCTTATTGCTAATCTTTCATTCAAAGGAAATATTCTTCACGTATTCATGCATATGGCATCAATATAAGTTAACTTTTCAAAAACAAATACTCTCACACACAAAACTTTTTCCTTTTAAAGGTAAGCTGTTTAGAATAAATATCTGTATAAAAATAGTAGAGGACAGTACAGTTAAGTACAATAATAATGACCTACCGAAGGTGGCATTAGCTGTAAAGAAAGTCCCTGCCAGTGCAGTAGATGCAAGAGATGTGGGTTCAATCCCTGGGTCGGAAAAATTCCCTGGAGTAGGAAATGGCAAACCATTCCAGTCATTTTGCCTGGAGAATCCCACGGACAAAGAAGCCTAGTGGGCTACCGTCCATGGGGTCACAAAGAGTCGGACAAGACTGAGTACATACACACAGCAACACCCAAAAAGGTTTAAGCTTTTACACATAAATGAACTAACCAGGTACCTAAAATTTCTCCTTTTAGCAATTAGGTACTGTTGGTGCCAGCTTGAAGACAGAGGAAAAGGGCCACATACCCAGGAATGTGAGTCTCTAGAACCTGAGAAAAGCTCTTAGCTATAAGCCAGCAAGAAAACAGGATCTCAGTCCTACAACCACAAGGAAGTATACAGTTCCTGCAAATAACCCAGATAAGCAAGGAAATGGGTTCTCTCTTAATGCCTCCAGAAAATAACACAGCCGATGAACTGATTATAGTCTGGTGAGACTCATACCAGACTCTGACCTAGAAAACTGTGAGAAAATTAATTTACCTTGTTTAACTCACTAAATTTGTGGTTACTAGCCATGACAGCAACAGGAAACTATTTCAAGTGGCTAGGACAGGAAAGCACAAGTAGCTTCCACTAGGGTGACAGCTACGGCCAACAAAAGTGCCCAGAAGTAGCTATGGGGCAGGACATTAAAGAATTTCAGTAACGATGTGGTCAAGCTCAAAGGTCCTTCTCTAAAGCCATCACTGTAGCAAGGGATGCTAACCAGCCCAACAGAAGAGTAGAACTACTATGGGATTCTCAGACCTCAGAATATCCACCAGGTGCCCAAAGTACAACAGTGCACACTTAGGATCTGACGGAAACAAGGAAAATGTGGGCGCTGCACGTTTACAAGATGTTTCTGGAGAAAATAATAACAACAACAAAATCTATCTCTGACAGCAAAACACTTCATCTGTTCTGTCGACCTGCAGTGTCATCAGATCTGTATTCATCACTCGGCTGCTGTAACTCTTTCCTTTTCCCTGCTCTTT